GTATGGGGCGTGTGTAGCAAAGTGGTTAGAGGAGCTCCAAAGTACAAATGGAATCTATCTTGTGCCCCAGGTTCACTAAGCCAGCCCATCCATCTGGTGTAGGCAAATTGCTACCAGATTTGTCTGGTAAGATAGCGGCACTGACTGGATACATCGGTAGGCCACTGCGAGTCGTTCGTTAGAAAGGCCATATATGTATTCAATCACCTCCAACGCTGCTTAGTGAAGTCGAATACATGGTACATTCCTCAGGGATTGATCAACGCCGGGAGTTTTATCCTTTTATTATTTTATTTTTACGAAGTATGGCATCAAATTGAGTTCAACATGCGCGACAACTAGAATTTTGCAACAGTGTCGATTTTTGAGCTACGTGAATCCTCTGATTCATTTATCTTCTCTTTTTTGTCCTCTTTTTAGACTACGCTGGAACTTTTACTTTCTAACCTTGCATTATAAATTCCTGTTTTGCGAAATCCTTGCTTCATGCTTAAAGTACGACGATTAATTTTCTAGAGCGCAGTCGTGTTTTTCGGTGATTAAAATGCTTAAAGAGTCTAAAGTGTAAAAGCTCATAGAAGAGGCTTTTTGCCTTCGTTAGGTATATATACATCTCTCCAAAACGTTTTAGTTTTGTATTTCTCCAGAATTTAAGTTTTTAAAACAAAGGGAAGATTCAGAATTTTAAAGTTTTCAACACAAGCTCGATATCTGCTGATATGAACGCTGCAACGGTGGACATTATTATGTCCTTATGGAAGAAATCTTGCTTACTCAATGGCTTAGCTCTGCAGGAAATGAGGCTGAATGGGAGGAAAAAGCGAAGATTATCTCATGTATGCTGCAGAAAACCGTAATTCTGTCTTGGGAGCAGAAGAAAACTTATACTTTTCTTGGCAAAGATTTGTCATTTAAACAAGATCTGTAGATTTTCTTTCAGCTACTGATGTTTATTATTAGGAAATTTAAAGTTAAAAGGCGCAAATATGTTTGGCCGTGTATGAGTTGGGATGGACTCACATCGGACTGTAAGTGTTAATGACGTCTAAGGGGAAGTGATACCAGTTTTCAATATTGTAGAATTCTTGAGTAGTAGCGCATGTAAGAATTGCTGCTGAAGATTGTGTAAGCTTCCTAATTTTGTAATTTTGTTGAGAAGTTTTTAAACGAATGAAATACTTAGATCTGCTTTCCATAAGGGTTGGAATGGTTTATTTTTTCTTCAAAAAACGGCTTTAAATATCCGTTGACGATGACAGCAATAAAATGATGAAGGATGAGGCTCTCGTCGTTGATCAATCCCTGAGAGATGCGCCATGCTTTCGATTTCAGTAAGAATCGTTGGACGTGACTGAATGCATATCTTGCTTTTACAATGAGTCCCAGTGGGCTACCGGCGTATCGAGAAAGTGCTGGTATCCGCACAGAAAAAATCTGGTACCAATTTGTCCACCCCGGAGGGATGGAAGGTTTGGTGAGCCTGGGACGCTGGGAGCGATCCCATGTGTATTGTAGAGCGCCTTCGACCACTGCGCTACACGCGCCCTTTTTAATGACAATAAAATGACAATGATGACAGTAAACCGTCCTAGAATCTCGTCTTGGATGTTATCTTCTCCATTTTAAAGATGTTGGTACAATTGTTGCGTCACGCGGTTCATTATAGTCTGCTCACCGAACGAAACGTTTAAAATGCATGTTTTTTCACAATTTTTTGGGCAGATGCCGAATCCCACGAGGACAAAGTCGTTTGAATTTTCTCCTTTTTCTTTTTTTTTTGAATTTGATAGAGTAGAATGCAATATGAAGTCGAGAAAAGAATTTAATGTAGAAAGAAAACAAGTATGTTTTTAAAGACAGATTAACCTAATAGTAATCACTTATCCCTCTTTATCTAACCTAGAAATCGTAGCTGTTCGTTGGAAGGTCATCCATTCACTCTGAGTATTTGTTTTCGGGACTGTTGTGAGTTTTTTAGTTAGATTCGCCGTATTCTGAGCGTTTTCAGGGAACATAAGTGGTGCAGATAACCTTTCTGGTGCGTACCTTTTCTTACCAGATGGTAGTGCAAGGCAAATATCTTCTGTTAACAATGATGTTGTGGTAAGACATTTTAAGTATTTCTTTTATTAACAAATGTACCGAAACTGTTGTACAATAGTTAATAGTAGTGTTAGTGTAACTGGGTCCTTTACTCAGTGCCTGGATTTTTGCTATATTTGCTCAGGAAGTTTTACTTCAAATATTATTTAACCTTGGTCCAGTGTGAAATGCGATTAAAGTTTCAATTTGTGAAATTTGACACAAAAAGGTAAACCGTTAAAGTTTGATAGGATTAGGTTATACGTTTTTATTTTTTGCCTACTATAATTTCGCGGCAGGGTACTAAGCGAAATACAACCACAACGTTGCTGAGATATTTGCAAAACTCTGGACCGCAGGTGTCTATGGTGGGGAACGAACGCGCTATTGTCCTTTCCGGGGAGTAACGCGTTCAGCCGCAGCTTAACTGTCTTCTATGCCGATTTGGGCGCCCCAGATCAATCCCGCTGACGGGTGATTGCTGTGGCAAAGATCGATAGAAATAGCTGAGAGACAGGCGAAGCAAAGAACCCGCATGGTGTGGTGGTGAACGCGTTACTCCCCGGAAAGGACAATAGCGCGTTCGTTCCCCACCATAGACACCTGCGGTCCAGAGTTTTGCAAATATCTCAGCAACGTTTTGATAGGATTGTTAAGTAGCAATTAGGTCATGTTTTCTTCTTCGGGTCAGTGCGCTGTAGACAGTGTCACATTCTAGTCGTTACTACTTGAATACTCGGATATTTGGATGGCCTATCGTCACGAGTTGAGCGGACGCCAGTACATTTGGCATTCATTTCCTTCCCTCGCAATTGTCGTCCATGGTGGTGGCTTTATTCTAGCATGGTAACGCGTGCGCGTCTCAGACCGCGATCTATGAAATAACTGCAGCTGCAATTACAGCCGATTAACTTTGGTTACGAACACGTTTGCCCAACCTGTAGATTGCCGTCCTAAGGTGCGCCTGCATTCTCGTGGAGTCCCACTCTACAGTTCGTTTCGTCCATCTGTCGTCCGTCCTTCTGATTATGTGACCAGCCCATCTGTGTTTCGCTATCGATGTTTACTCTCTTGGATCCCGTAGGTGTCAGAGATTTCGAAGATCAGAGTTTCGCATTCCGGTTTGATATTGAGACTGCCGGCTATACTTCAGAAGAGATCGCTCAAGCGCTCTGTGAGAAGTTCGAAGCATTCTTAACGTAGTTGAAGTATCAACCCACGTCTCCGCATCATAACAAAGCGCCGGGTCCTTCAGTTGGTCGGTGGCTTTTTTGAGAGACCTGAATGCTGCCCAAGCTGCTGTCCTTCTTCTACCTAGTTCCTCCTTCATGTTGTTCTCCGTGTTCATTCATCGCCACGAGTATACGTGCAGGGTGGTCTCTGGAATCAGGGAACCATCCAGTTCGATTTGCTCGCTTTCGCACCATTCTTCTTACGATTTATGCATAGTCCTATCTTTTTTCCTGCTTCGTTGAGCTCATTGACCATCGTCTCTGCTTCGCTAATACTTCTTCGGATGACGATGTAGTCGGCGAAACGAAGTTGTGATAGAAATTTTCCATCATAACGTATACCTTTCTCATCCCAGTCGAATGACTTTATTATCTACAGCATTGCGGCACTAAAGAGCTTTGGCAATATTGTGTCGCCCTGTCGAACCCACTTTCCTGTGGGTGTGGTAAGAGGTCGATGGAAAAGCTGTATTTTCGTAGTGCAGTTCCGATAACAGTCGGACAGAGTTCTTATGTAGAACGGGTCTACTCCTTGGTAGACGAGCGCTGATAGGATTGAATTCTTTTCAACACTGTAAAACGCTTTATCGTACTCAGCAAAAGTGGGTCTAGGGACAGATGGTATTCCTGACAAACTTATTGAGTAAGGGCAAGGTTTGGATGTGGTCATGCAGCAAAATCTCTGTCGAAATCCTGCTTGCTTAACCGACTGCGCCTCATCCAATTTCAATGACATGCGCGACTGGTTAATGTTCGTGAATACATTGTAGAGTGTACTCAACAAGCATGTCGGAAGGTAGTTACGAGGATCCCTTCGGTCACCTTTTTGTGCAGGATGGCTGTGCGCGACGTCCCCACTGGTCGTTTCCTTTTGAAGGTAGGCTGTTGTATGATTTGCGGGAAATACACGTAAATTGTGGCTTCCAGCTCTAGGGAAGTTGGCGGTAATTTCAGCGGGTTCCTGAGCCTTGTTTCTTTCCATGCTTTCTGTCGCATCTCAAACCTCCAACGGGAGAATCCCAGGTGGTTTTTCTCCAGCAGAGGTTTTAGGGTCCGTGGCGAGGATTATGGAACGGAGGGTTGGTGTAGAACGTTTCCATGATTGCGACGGAAACTGTTAACGTTCCTCTCTTCGTTCACCAGGACCCATAGTGGTACATTATAATCGCTCAAGTGCCGACGACATTTTTTCAGGCTGGTTATTTTTTCTGCTGTTTCCGGTAGTTTCTACTGCATGTACTAATGTAGACCTTCCTGCAAAGCTACTCCGCAGCTGGCATTTATTACTAGTCGTTTCAATCGTGTTGCAATAAGACTAAGCTTCAGTTTCCTTCTCTTTTCGAGCAACTCTTTAGTGGCAATGGAGATTCGATCTGATCTCCTTTCTTGAACTGAGGTGAATTCGGCGCAGCTTTTTAATCTTTTAACGAGCAGCTCGTATTCCTCGGTCGAGTCTTCCTTTATCTGCCAGTCACACTTGGATAGGATTTCGTTAAGGGTTTTCTCGTCATATGTGTGTACATGTGTATATGTATATATATATATGTATATATATATGCATATACGTGTGTGTATACTTACGTATATATGTGTATATATATGTATATAAAGCTTTGTAGCAAACTCGTTTAGGTTGAATAATCTAAAGAAATGTATGGTACTTAGCTAAGCCCATTTTTATTTCAGGTTGTAGATGGACCTATAATGAAGAAAGTTTTTGTTGCCGGGCCGAGGGATTTGAAAATATTACAAGTCTATTCCATATGGGAGGGCTCACCTTCAGTCGAAATAGTGAATGAAGTGGACATTCAGTGTGTAGTACTTTATTCCCAAATTTCTTCCTTTCTGTAACGATGTTTTTATGCCTTCTGGTACTATTTCGATTTTTAGGTCGAGGTCAAACTTTGAATTAGCAATGCGCCTTAATACGAGTATTCAAAGTGGCGATGATTTGTACACAGATTTAAATGGAATTCAGGTAGAATACTTTCTTCTTACTGATGGCAAGTATGTTATTGGTAACACTAACGAAGCTGAGAAAAAGGCAAAACGATGGACGCTCATGGTGTGGTGGTGAACGTTAGCTCTCGGAAAGGTAATAACGTGTTCAATCCCGCAGACACCTGCTGTCCAGAGTTTTGCAAATATCTTAGCGTCATTATTGCTAACGAGGGTGTTGGTTTACTCTATCCTTTTATGACCATGTCTTTTATACCATTCTTATACAACGGTATTTATAGTTTATTCGGCGACGTCGTATGCTCAATAAATTACCGCTTCAAGCTCACTTCTATCCAATGCCTGCTTCTGCTTACATTGAAGATACTTCTACAAGGTTGTCGCTTCTTGGAGCTCAAGCGCTTGGAGTCGCTAGTCTTAAGCCCGGTTAGAAGTTGTTCTGCCATTACTTCTTCCATTTGTTTCAAAAAGTTTTTGTCCATTCCAACCAGAATTCTTGGCATACAACGATCGATTTTGGTAGAAATTTGCTAGTTCGCAGCACTTTGTTTCGCTCTACTTGCACTACATTTCTGGTATAATCCTGGAAGTCCTATGTTTAGTGACAAATTTGTAATTACTGAGTAAACATCTTCTTAGAAAGATAGGAGATGAACTTTGTGATCTCGTGACCTTGTATTTTGTACAGTTTAGGTGAGCTTGAAGTGATGTTAGATCGTCGTCTGAATCAAGATGACGGACGAGGATTGGATCAGGTTATAAATGTGTTATCCACATCTTTTCTTTGCTTCATTTTTCGCACTTCTCATGAGAAACAAAGTACATAATATTTACTGCCGTGTTTCACTTCTCATTTCAATTTAAGAGCGTTTTGGATAATCACCGCACTTTGTCAAGATTTCGACTTCTGATTGAGCCACTCTCATTTGATAAGGACAGTGTTAACGAAAGAGTTGGATTTTACTCGATGGTTGGGCTAGCACAAAGTATGGAGGTACACTATCCAGTGATTAGGATGCTTTCCAAAGGTAATCTGAAGTAACGAAAATGGCATAAATCGATCAACCCAGCCTTGATTTTACAGCCGGGCCAAGTGGTGAGGTGAATGTACAGTTGCCAGAAAGCCTTCCGTGCGATGTTCATTTGGTTACCCTAAGGTTTGTCTACCTACTTGGAGTAGTTATTTTTCGATTTCATTCGTTTTTCTTCTTGCTTGGCAATACTTTACTTAACAGTGGTCACACCGGTTTATTTTCAAGTATCATTTGTTGGTAGAAAATATGAGTTCTATTCTATATGTTTAGGACAATGGCTTCACCTACAAACTATGAAGGTAATCGGCTAGCATCTCCACGAAATGAGGTTGCGCTCGTACTATACAGACCGTTTACGGATTGTCGTACTAAACTGCAATTGCGGTCTGATTGTACCGAACAAGAAAGCATGGTTGGTTAGAAACTATTGTTACAAGTATAACTTCACATTGCTGTACTTTTTCCCATTCATATCTACACCAAGTTGGTTTATTAACATGGAATAGAAGTAGAGGTATCCTTGAGAAATTGAGTGTCCCATCTTCATGAATTACAATGAATCGTGCGGGTTCTAGCATAGTTTACATTTGAATGGCACAAGTAGTCCAAAAAATGAAATATGTTTCAGATAATGATCAAGAAGCTATTCCCGAAAATACACTCATCAACTGAAGCTTCACTCACACTACTATATGAGGGAAAGAAGAAAGAAGAAATTTCTTTAGAACCACAAGATATTATAACATTAAAACTGTCATGGTAGAAGAACAAGCGGATGAGTTGCTTTCTTCAGTGTTCCTATATAAGGGAAAATAAAGCGGGATTTAGTTAGAACCAGAAACTTAACATTATACAAATTACCATGTTTGGTAGTTTTTTTTTTTCTATTCTATTATTTTTCTATTCTTTTCCGTAGCTGACTTTCATTCACTGTTTTTCGCACTTTTTTGTTGTTATCTTGTTTTGACCAATAAAGGTCCTAATTTTCATACGGAAGACATTCCCTCATAAGTTATGAAATCAAAGGATTCTTTTCTGTGCTTATTTATATCCATGTGCTCACATGTCAAACGTTTTGTTACTGAAATCTATTATTGTGTATACCGGTAAACTTTCATATGTTCTAGAGAAATAAACGTATATATACAGACTTAAGGTTAGAACATGCTCCACACAAGAATTAAGCACTCTACATACGTTTTACTTAAGTTACTTATCAATTGATCAATTGTGCTTAGTTAACGTCACTGGAACTTCAAATGCGAATAAGAACAGATAAGCGGCTTCAGAAGAAAATTTTTCAATGAGGCGAGAACTGTAACAATATCATGAAGAAACAGTCAAAATTTGGATGCATTTAAAGAAAAACCAAGGGAAAGCAACAGATAGTCAAATGAAGGGTCTACTCGTGACTAGCCAGAACAGAGCGTGGAATTGAGCTTACAGCTCATCAAGCTTATCTTGCCGACTTGCCTTCGTCGGATACCGCTCCCACACCATTGACCGGTCCGTCTCATAGGTTTGGTCAATCGCCGTCGGTTCTTGCAATTGCAAACCTTCGGCCTCCAAAGCTTTGAAGAATTCCTTTTGCTAAAGTAGCAGAGAGACATTGGTAATGAAGCATAAGGACGGGGATTGTACACTATTACGAATAAAACCACTATAGTCATAGGAACTACAGCCCACTTAGCATCTCCTATGTGCTACTAACTGACTTGGATGGTACGTCATCACTGAATGCGTGGGCCCCAGCATAATTCCCGTTTTTTCGGAGTTTTTCTAGTTTGGCCACTGTGGTTCCCTGGAGTCCCGAGGTCCCTGGAGAACCAAAGTCTGCCCCAGGTCGTCACCACCACAGGCAGTCGACCTGCTTGCGGATCAGAGGGGGATTGCCACCATGCTGCGACTAGTTAGATACCAGGACGGTGGTGGATCCTAGTATTGGCTTACTCTTAGCTGATCTTCCTGATGGAAAGACCGAACTCGTTCTCAGCTTGTGAGACCCTGCCGGGGAAGAGAGGAGAGGGGAGAGGTGGGGGGTGGGGGAAGGAGGGACGAATCCCTTCTCTACTACATCGCAGCCCGACACCGAGGAACACTTCCCACACACGATGATGAGACGGTAAACCGTTAGGAGGAATATGTTATTTATCAACCAAAATACGGATCACTTGGTTGGGCGGAACATTGTATTTGGGCGACACAGGATGTTTCTCATGGTTTGTAGATTTGAAAATTTGCTTAAAACAAAGCAACACTACAATCAAAATGACGGAAACCTACATGCTTGCTCTTCTCGATCTGCTCCTGAGTCGCAGCAGGTAAAGCGAAATGAATACCTGCTTGGAGACACCGAGTAGCAAGAATGCAACCAAGATTCATTGCTGCGCACGTATCCGTATTACTGTCAAAGAAAAGGGTATTAATAACAATTCTATTAGAAAAAGAGACCGTTATACCACAAACTGTGCGAATTATTAACACCATTCATAATGATGATGAGATATTTGCAAAACTCCGAAGCGCAGGCGTCTGCGGTGGGCAACAAACGCGCTATTATCCTTACCGGGGTAGCGCGTTTACCACCACACCATGTGGGTGTTTCGTTTCGCCTGTCTCTCAACTAGTTTTCCGTCTATCAGTGTCATCAGCAATCACCCGTCAACGGTATTGATTTGGTGAGCACAAATCGGCGCTGAACCGACTTAAGTCGAAGAGGCTGACAGAAAGGCGAACGAAATACCCACATGGTGTGGTGATGAACGCTTTAAACCCCGGAAAGAGCAATAGTGCGTGCGTTCCCCACCGCAGACACCTGCGGTGCGGAGTTTTGCAAATATCTCATTATCATTATGGTGGTACTTCACATAATGATGGTGAGATATTTAATACCCTACCGTGAAAAAATATACTAGGCTGCAAATAACAAGTCAACATTATTCATAAAGCCCGAGTTTTTATATCACACTAGTAGTATAAACACTAGTAGTATAAATGCTAACTTTTTAACTACTGCCTACTACTATTTTCCACAGCAGAGTATGATGTGAAATACAACCACTATTACTCTGAGGTATTTGAAAAATCTTACACCCCAGACCAGGTCGAACCGCGATCTTCCTTTGCGGGGCTGTACCACTGTACCACTGAGGCATTTATTTTGTTTTTCTCTCAGCCAGTTCACTAGTAGTGCAGTACCTGTACAATTGGTTTGAGATCGCTTTTTCCTTAGTAGATGCTTCAATAACAACACCATCTCTATAGTGTAATAACCGAGCTATCTGGTGAGCGCTTGACTGTACAAGTTCAACTCTGAAAAAATGATACTTAAATTGTGCAGAACTCCATACATATTCATGTCCATATACACTTTTATGGCATTCAACAACACTCTCTCAAGTATACTTACTTGTAAACTTAGATGGCCTGTCTTCACTAATTGCGCCGGCCCCAGCCAAATCTCCACTTTTCCGAGATTCGCTGGTTAAGCCATTGTGGTTCCCTGGAATCCCGAAGTCAGCCTGCCCAAAGGGTCCCGGGTCTTCATCACCACAGGCAGTCGCCGTCCTTGTGGACCAGGGGTTGCCACCATGCCACAAGTTTGATACCAGGAACGCGGTGGATCCTTGTATTGGTTTACTCTTAGCCGAGCTTCCTGATTGAAACTCAGAACTCCTTCTCAGCTTGAGAGACTCTGCCGGAGGGACGAATCCCCCCGCTGTACATCGCAGTCCGACACCCAGGAACACCTCCCAGCCACGATGAGGCGGTAAACTGTTGGGAGGGGCCTAGGTATCCAAGTATCCGAGTAAAACATGAGATCAGACAAAATAATACTCCATGGAGTCAAATATTAAACAGCAAATGAGTGGTCCTTCGAAAGAAGACGAAAAATGATTTCTACAATATAAAAAAGTTACCCACTGTATTTCCTACTTGCTTCCACAAAACGAGAAAAAAAGGAATAATAACAAGAATAAGTGCGATTATGAACGTACTTATAAATGAAGCTACGTTTCTCTTTGTCCACTTCAAATTCGTAGCCTACATGTGGTTTTTGTAACCCAAGCATTTCGAGGTTACGCGGGTTACGATTTATAAACCGTGTAGCGAACCGTATCGACGACATCCCTGAATTTTTCCACTAAAAAACGAAAACCACTTCAAAAGAAAAAAAAAACCGACACAGTAGGTACTGATAAGGCAGAAGCCCAACTTAACTATTTTAAGAAGGAATTTCTCAAGCGTCTAGTAAATCGTAAGTGACGTAGAAACACTACAAATTCGATTGGACCCACTGCAACTGACGCCTGATGTTTTGTGGCGGACACCCATTTTTGGGTAACTAGAGGACATCAGGAGTTGAGGACATGACGGTTGTAGAACACACCTCATACGTAAATCTAGAAGTACGCACTCTATTCAAGCTGCAATTTCCTATATGTTGCTATGGTTCATTATACAACATTAAAGAAAAGCTCGGCGTTAATCAATCCCTGAAGGTGCGCCATGCATTAGACTTCATTAAGCATTATTTGGAGGTGACTGAATGCATATCTGGCCTTTCCAATGACTCACGATGGCATGCCAATGTATCGAGCCAGTGCTGCTATCCACACAGACAAGTCTGGTACCAATTTGCCGACCCCAGAGTGACGGAAGGCCTAGTGGGCCATAGGCACGAGGATCGATTCCACGTGCGTGTCGCAGTGGCGCTTCCAACCACAGGCGCCCTTTACAACCACAAAACAGTTAGTAATTTGTAGTGTTCTGCAGCTTTTACTGAGTGCATTCTATTTTCCATAGCAGCCATTCCATATGATAATAGTGGTCCATTATAGCGATTCAAATTGGAACAATGATTGTCAGTTGAATAACCCGTAATAAAGTTGTTCAAAAGCTGTTTTGTTGTGCATTTCCAAGTGCAGAATGGATTATTCACCAGCTTACACTTGGAGCAATATCAGTGTTGGATACGCTATCGAATCATTACAAAAAGTAGGGTAGAAAAGCCCTAAAGCACAAAATAAGCGCCCGAAAATAGAATGTATCGCATATGACTCGCGTCAGCCAATGCGTGGTTCAAATATAACCCACGGCACCGACAGTCAGTTTAATAAGGGAAACCATGGTTATAATTTTTTTAAACTGTCAGTTGTCTACGAAATCCACGAATATCTGACCTTTCAGTGGTTTGCTACTTCCTTGTAGCTGGTTGGTGCTCATGAGTGTGCAAATGTAATGTACAGCGGAGGTTTATTCCCCATAGAGTCGTCTAAGCGTTCTTTGTTTTCTGAGAGGTAGGAAGCGCCACTGCGACACACGTGGAATCGATCCCTGCGCCAATGGTTTACGAAGCCTTTCATCCCGCCGGTGTCGGAAAACTGATATCAGATTTGTCTGGGAAAATACCAGCAAGGGTTCGATACATCGGTAGGCCACCACGAGTCTTGTAAAGGCCAGATATGCATTCAGTCACCTCCAACGATACTTAATGAAATCGAATGCATGATGCATCACTCAGGGATTGATCAACGCCAAGAGCTTTATCCTTTTTTTTCTTTTCTGAAGCCAGACCACCAGTAACTTCATCGCATGAATCACTGCCGTGTGAAAAGCTTCGTTAACATCGCAAGACTTGGCGACTGTTTGTGCCGACTACTGAGAATGCTCGAAGAAGGCTATTTCCAGACCTTTCTGGATTGTTGAGCTAACATCGATGTCTTTGTCTTCATCAGAGCCGATGTCCGAGCCGGACCAGTGTCGACTATCAATGTGGGCCATCGGCTCTGATGAAGACGAAGACGTCAAGACAGCCGAATCTCTCTACCAATATTGTGTTAGCTCAAAAGTACAAAAAGTACTAACCATTACTAGCGAGGTTAAATGACAGTCGGTTTGGAAATTGTTGTACTTGGAGACTTTAGGGGTAACAATAAATATCAAATCAGCAGCGAATCACCTTTCTTTTCCAAGTTCCGCCTTGTGATCTACGATACTTGAACTTTATCAAGAATAACCGTCCAAGACAATCACGGACGATTCCTTATGTTTAACTTTTTATTTGCTGCTTACTATCATTTTTCACGGCAGGGTGCGATGTGAAATACAACCACAGTGATACACCAGGAGCTCACGTGTTGCGAACGGCACCACTGAGCCCCTTGCTTTGCCTTTCTCTTAGCCAGTTAGTACTATAGTACTTGTAAAGGAATCACATGTGGAATCGATCCCCGTGTCCATAGCCCAAAAAGTCTTCCATCCCTCCGGGATCGGCAAATTGGTACCAGACCTGTCTGGGAGGAGAACGGCACTAGATCGACACATCGGTAGCTCACCGCGAGTCAATGCGAAAGCCAGATATGCATTCAGTCACCTCCAACGATTCTTAACGAAGTCAAATGCATGGCGCAGCCCTCAGGGATTGATCAACGCCGTGAGCTTTACTCATCCATTATAGTACCTGTACAATTGGTTGGAGATCGCTCTCTCCTTGGTAGATGCTTCAATAACAGCCTCATCTCTACTGTGTTATAATCGAGCAACCTGGTGAGCTTTTGCGAACCTAGAATTACCCTTTCCGCAGGATCACGTGTTACCAACTGCACCACTGAGGCTGTTTTTTTTTTTATTTACACTTACTAGCACCGCCTCATTTTCTTCAATAGTGACATCTCGGAACTATTATCAGCCCATACCTCACTCGACTACCATACAAACATTTCGTTTAACCACAAGCGGCAAAAGAACTCCCATTCCCAGGAACATGACCAATGAGATATGGAAGAACATTCTAGGCGAGACTCTTTCACAGAAAAATTAGCAGTTGAAAGAAGATCAGATCGAAGACTACGAGTCTCACGTCTGAACTTCAAACCTGTTCTATACGTGATTCCAAGAACAACGCCAAAGCAAGACCGATAATGAAGATGTGCTTGAAAAGAACAAGTTTTCAATTACACGATGCATTCCTGAAGGCTCATGATATTCCTCAAAACACGTTTGACGTGCTACTAGACGAAAGTGATGAAAGTCATACGAGAAACACTTGAATCGTATGAAAATATGAAAAATGATATAATTGTACAACAGAGTAACAACATTCAATATAAGAACCAAATTAAGGGATCCTCTAAGGACAGTTACATAAGAGGCAATTGACCACATATTGCTTAAAGCAAATTAGGCTCACGTTGAACAACATTTCGAAAACAAATCAACGACAGAATGAGCGATAATCGAATAACACCATTGGAAATCATATCGACTAGTAGTTATGAAATACATAGACGTTAAACTTAAACACTTTCTACGCACGCCGAAGGCAAAAATGCTAACAATAAATCACAATTGAACAAGCTATAGACCACAGCCTAAACCACGTCAAGCTACCAAAAACAAACATATCATGATCTGATCATAAATACACAGTAGTTCTAAACCCAAGTCTTAGTTAGCCTCGGCACTTACTGATCAACAGATTATTATATTCTCATGGACAGTTCTTGATGAGGTGATACGATATTTTAACCATGAGCTTCGTCTTAATCAAAGCCTTAAAATTACACCGAGAACTATTCACTGCGAACTACGTACTTTAACAAACTCGTCTCAGTATATAGAAAACAGCTCATAGAGACACAATAAACATACTATCTCGCATCGTAAACGATGCTTTACGACATGTTAAACAACATTAAAAATAATTAGAAAATTGCGTCTACCTTAAAAGGTATGGTGATGAATGACCCGAAATGACAAGCAACCTTAACAAACTGACCTTTCAAAAAACGATCAGTTTACAAGTGAAAGCAGTTGGAGTGCTACTTACTATGTGGCATAAGTGCTGCATTTAAAATTGATATAAATAATAGTGCGAAGCAAGTTAGACTTCACTGCCTGACGCTACCTATCTCTACTCTAAATTTAATAAAGAAAACAAAATGTCGAACGTCTAGTGGACATCGGTTGCAGCAATATCATCTTCTCGACTTGACTCCTGATTCATGCTACAGTACCCACCATCGATACTGGTTATTTGCCCACCGAAATAGGGCATAGGTTTGTAAAGTAGTGGCCTTAGGTGACACTGAACTTGCTGAACTTGTTGCTGCTGCGTAGACGACATCGCTGGCGATATCTGTGAATAGTGATACATAGGTTCCGGATATGCCGGATAGACGGATAGCGGATGCAGTGGTGCTCTTCCTGAAATGAGGAACGATAGAGTCATGGTCATTAAAAACTATATAGTGAAACTGTAACTTCTATTAGGAAAAAATCTCTTTCATCAATACAAAAGGCGTAAGAAGATGAGGAGAAGGAAGTAGCAGGACTTTGATGAAAATATGTATATAGAACGAAAGACGATCGAAAGAGGATGGAAATAGAAACTTTCTCCACTAATCTTACCAGTCTGTGGTTGCGCAGGGAGAATATGAGGTGTGGGAGCAACTTGTATTTCAGACCGATGAGTATCCAAGTTGCTCATCCTAGCTTCATTGGTACATTCTTGGTACTGTTCTCCAGTAGACTAAAGTATTATAGAGGCATTCACAGCTTGCTTTGAAATATTTACAAGTCGAAACTTGTCAACTTGATCGAAAATGAGGATATCATCGATGTTAATCACCTTCCTTAACACAAAAGGAGGAAGACTGTTCAGTTGAGCTTCTCACCCTTTCACTACAAGTGCAAAATTGAAAGAATAAAACATCTCAGGACCTCAAATTACCGTACAAAGCCGATCTTTAAGCAAACGTTTGGACCACAAGAAATGTTTCCCAGATTACTTTTAGGAGCATTTAAGAAGGGAAATTACGCATGTATTCCAAATATAGACTTGAATACTTGGATGGCCTGTCTTCGCTGGTTGTGCAGGCCGCAACATAATTTCCATTGTTTCGGAGTTCTGCTGTTTTAGCCATTGTGGTTCCCTGGAGTCCTGAGGTCAGCCAGGCCAAAGTTTCCCCAGGTTGTCGCCACCACAGGCAGTATCCGCCTTCGTGGGTCAAACGGAGATTTGCCACCATGCGACTAGTTTGACACCGGAACGGTGATGGATCCTAGTATGGATTAACTCTTAATTGGGTTTCCTAACGGAAACACCGGACTCCTTCTCAACCTGGGAGGCCCTGCCAGGGGAATAAATCCCCCCGCTGTACATCGAAGCCCGACACCCAGGAACACCTCTCAACCACGATGAGACGGTAAACCGCTGGGAGGATTTCAAATACATGCGACAACACTTTCAAAAACTTGCGAAACAAATGACTACATTCTTGTATCGCATTGAATTTCAGTAGTTTGTAGCTGAAAGAAAATCAGCTGGTACTTACCCGCTGCCTAGAAGTGACGTGCCCATGCGAACTAGGTTGCCCTGCCTTTAGCGTTTCTGAGTAGTTAGGTCGTTGTGTAAGCTCTGTAGCTCCATCATGTGCTTGTTTTAATCGCTGCTGATCATACATATGGGAATGTCCTTGGAGCAATGGTTGGGTTGACATATAGCGATTGTGGGATTGTACTTGCAGATGAATTAGATGTTGGTGGCACTGAGAATGATTAATGCTCTGGATAGAAGCAGCGGGATAATGTTGTAGTTGGATGTATGGTTGCTGGGCATGTATTAGAGGTTGCTGAATGAAACGCCCAAGTTGCTGGTGAAAAACTACGTGCTGACACTGTATGGGGAAGGCAGGTTGAATTAACGACTGGTAACTTTGAGTATAACAACCGCCAATTTGGGAGGAATGCTGATGAACGTGATAGTTAATGTATCCGGGCGGTAAAGGCATCACATGAGCGGCTTGGTCTTGAGAAGCTTCATCGTTGTTCAAATGCTCTTGCTGCTGACATGACATAGTTGGAATCGTATGCTGCACAGATGGATTCGATTGCGTCGGCAGCATTATTGCCGGATGTGAAGAAAACATTTCTACTGGTGATGGTGTCATGGTGGATGTCGGTTGCACTAATACTTGTCCTGGATATGGTGCGGGCACACATCTAAAAGATTCTTTCCTAGAAACTTCAGTATAAAAAATAGTCCACCAATAAATAAACTCACATAACCTCTTCACCAAAAGGGAACTGCAAAAGTTGTGGATAGGCTGGATACATTCCAGAGTGAGCTGGAGGAATCGAAGAACGATGACTTATTTCACTGTTTTCCGAAATGCTTACATTAGTGAACCGATCCATTGTTTCACCAATAGGTTCGGGGGCAGTTAAAAGTCCTGCTAAATACAAAACACATTTAAAAAGATGTTATGTTTGGAACGCGAGAAGAAACTAATATTTTCCGCTGGTCGATTTTTGTAGACCCAAAATTCTGCACTGATGAGTAAATTGCAAGCTAGTAACTTTGATGAATGAGTAGTAGTAAATTCACAGCGTGTTAATGAATTCCACGTTCTCGAATTTCTGTTCTCGCATTTACCTGGCGTATTCTGAGAACCATCATGTGATTCAAGGAAACCATGGCTTGCTTGGTAACTCGTCGGAATTCCGCTGAAGCTACCCGCTTTCTAAAAAATCTAAAGTTACTAGAAAAAAAGGCAATCTAAGACAATATACCGCTGTCATTTGATTCCACTCGATTCTACTCAAAATTCGGATGTATTTTAGGAAAAATACCTAGAGCGTTAACATACCTTCATCATTTGTCCATGGTTGGTAAAACTCACATAGTAGGGACAATGCTGGTTCTCGAACGATCTCTGATTTCTTGGCCACCATGGATGAGACTATAAAACGCTACCAGCGTCTAGTAATTCTGAAACTCCTGCGTGAAGAGAAACTCAGATCTAAGTAAAACGCGATACTTGTTGTGATAAATCCGATTCCACGTTTGGAAGAACGCAACCGATCTCGAACGACTGAGCTCTCCGTGCCAGTTCTCCCGTAACAAACTGTAATGCTTGTAGAGTTTTGTGTCTCAAATCATTATCAATGGCTGATAACTTATGGATCAATATCCCTCAAAGAAAACTCTAACGCATTAGTAAGTAAGTGCACGCCATCAAATCATTTACATCCATCATATGTGGTCCCAGTGGTCGTCCAGTAACTAGAGCGTGGGCCAGTAAATCTTCCACTTCTCCCTGGCACGTGCATGAGCAGCGCATTCCTGTGGGTTCTGTTCACTATTGGGACTCGCTGAACATCACCTCTTCCTTCTAGGGTTTTCGCGAATAAAAATGACCCTCGCATCGGTGAACTTCTTGCTCTGCGTTTAACATCCCGAGAAATCCTGTCGATAACGACTCCTGCCTCTCAGATGCCGCTCCACCGCATCATAGGTTTGGCACACTTGATTCTTGACATTTGGGAGTGCAAAACGGCTTCTACGATTTCTGATCGTTGACATAGGTCTCGAATGCGAACCTCGAATCCTCTCCCTCTCACCTGCGTGATACAGGATACTCTTAGCATGGCCTTTTCGACGGCAGGTTCTCTGACGCTGAGTGATCTTTCATCCTACCAACATAGTGACGGGATTAGTGGAGTGGTTAAGTAATGCAGCCCATCATGAAATAAGGTGCTAGTTCGACCCCATCCCAAACACTTCCCCCAATCAGTCCTCGTGGGAACGCCTTAACTCGGGTATCTACAAGAATACAAGGAAAATTAAGTTGACCAGCATTCTATGACATTCATAAAGAAGACGAAATCCTCAAGCAGTAACCGAAACAAAATGCGAAATGTTCGCAGACTGTTGTGGACGATCAATGCGGGAAAGCGAATCGAATACGAGAAGCGGTGGAATCGGCACAGCAGGTGTGATGACAGGTTACGTAAAATAAGGCAAATAAATATCGCAGCATCCAGGTTTCTGACGCGTACGTTAGGGCAGAAAGAATGGTGGTGTCCAGAATGTACGCAGAGTTGCATGTTTCTAGTATCAGACTTGTCAGGGAAAATAAAAATAATGATCTGATACATCGGTAATTGCCCATAATTCATTGTACGAGTCAAATATGCATTCGATCATTCTTACAATGCTTAATTTAGTCCGTTGCATCGTGCATCACCAAGCGACTGATCAAAGCAGAACGAATGATATCATAACCTTCTAGCTGATAACGAGAATATTAATGCTCGCTTAGACATTTCTGTTGTGAGAATAAACCTATATAGCTATTAGCAATACAATTCATAAACCCGTTATAGAACAAGAAGTAAAAGGATACCTCTCTATAGTCCCATGGTACAGCGTATAACCATCTGCCATCGGTGAATGTGTTGCTTTGAATTAGACTTGCAAACACAAAATCTGGCCTAGTACAAAGAAGGAACACATAGAACAAGAGAAAAGAGAAATATGAGAAAAGCATAAAGGTACGGAATGCAAACATACTGTTTCGTCCTACTCGTTTTCGACACTACTACACATTTCCCGCTGTTATCAACATTGTGGTCTAAACCGAATAGTACAGCAATACGATGTATTATCATACGATTGTAAGACGACACTGGAGGAAGTTTAATTGATTGAACCCTAAAATGCAATCTATTTGAAAAATAAGACAATAATCACAATGCGGTAGTTTTTATTTACTACCTATTCTTTAGTGGCCGGAAGCGCCCTGCAACACACGTGGAATCGATCCCCGTGCTCATGGCTCATCAAGCCTTCTATCTCTCTGGGGTCGGCAAATTGGTACCAGACTTGTCTAAGAGGACAGCGGCACTGGCTCGATACATCGGTAGGTCACCGCGAGTCATCGTAAAGGCCAGATATGCATTCAATCACTTCCAGGCGATGTTTAATGAAGTCGAATGCATGGCGCATCCCGAAGGGATTGATCAACGCCGGAAGCGCTATCGCTTTTATCGCTTTACCTATTTTTATTAATGGAAGGATATTATGGGAGATATAAACATAATGATAGCACACCACCCCTAAGTCAATAACACGGCTGAGAGAAAGGCGAAACGAAGGACTCGCATGGTGTGGTGGTAAACGGGTCCCCAAAAACCCTTGAAAGGGTAATAGCGCGTTCGTTCCGCACCGTAGACATCGGCGGTCCGGAGTTTTGCAAATATTTCAGGATCACTGTGGTTATATTTTACAGCAAGCACACTTTCTGCTCTTAATATTGAAAATAAGTTGTTGACGCCCGAGTTTCGAGAAACAGGGTTTTTCATTTCGGAAACGCACCCAGAATTAGAGATGAAATCGGTGAAAATCTGCTCAATTTCCAGTATGAAGGCACGGTCTCGTGGGTTTTTATGCAAGGTGGCTGCAATGAATGAGCGAAGTTCCATCTCGCCGAGATCCGACATGTAGTCAGTATAAGACGATTCTGAAAACTATTGAAGAGAGCTGAACTAGTGCGTAACACTTAAATAATTGCAACATTCGTCTATCAAATAAATCATTGCAGTCCTTGTCAGGCTACGTTATACTTTACTGTGGTCACCTTGGTACCATTCTGAGCAGCTCTTTAACCTGATTAGAAAAATCCGCACAGATTTAAATTCGTTTGAATATAGCCTCACCCCTACTTACTGATGAAGAATTCCGACTGGATTGCGCTGGAAAACCAAAGGATCTCATGGAAGCGAAAGATTTAATCACTGGACGAGGAGGACGTAACCGGGTGTCATCATCACCGCACAATGCAACACTTCGCACAAGTTGTCGTGTTCGAGAAGGTACGAAATCGTCATAAGAGTGACTCTCGAGTGGTACCTTAAATCGTCAGCACTAAGACAGCTTTCTTTACGGACAAGTGATTAGACAGACTTAGCAGTGAATTCGAATAGTTAGCACTTTAGTACACTCCCAACGGTTTACCGCTTCATCGCGACTGGGAGGTGTTCCTGGGTGTCGGGGTGCGATGTACAGCGAGGGATTCATCCCCTTGGCAGGGTCTCCAAAGCTGAGGAGTCCAGCGTTTCCATTGGGAAGCCTAGCTAAGAGTAAACCAATACCAGGTTTGACCACTGTCTTGGTATCAAAGTCCCATGGTAGCAAACCTCCCTCTAAACTACAAGAGCTGTGACTGCCTGGAGTGGTGAAGATCTGGAGCAGACTTTGGCCAAGCTGACCTCGGGATTCCAGGAAACCACAATGGCTTCACCAGCAGAAACTCCGAACAATGGAGATTATGCTGGGGCCCGCACAACCAGTGAGGACGGGTCATTCAAGTATCAAGTAAGTACTTCAGTACTGAACCATGTCAACCACAAAATTTCATCACATTTTCAAAAACTTATCCCTATATGCTTCAACAAAAATAAAAAGTAGGAATATTTCGAAACCGACTTTCCTTGGACCTCGGCGTGACTAATCAATTTGCATTCTTTCTTTGATGAGCTTACACGAGGTTGATAATTATATCTATTTTCGGCTAACGATTTCGGTTAACGGTTAATAACGTAACGCTTTTCGGTTCAACTGAAAAGACTAACTATTTATACATAGGTTGAACGAGAATCCGTTGCAAAAGTCTGATAAAGGCTGTTCTTAATAAATCTTTACAGTGACTCACTGTTTTATTGACAAGCACACATGATGTTGTTTTTAAACTTTTTATTAATATTGCAAAACGTCTCGCAGAGTTTCGCTTTTTCAGAGCCTGGTAAGGTCAAGATTGTTACCAATGCTATATTTCGAAACTGACTTCACTTCAACCTCGGTGTGACTAATCAATATGTATTCTTTCTTTGATGAGCTTACACGAGGTTGATAAATATATTTATTTTCGGCAAACGTTTCGACGTCTTCGTCTTCATTAGAGCCGATGATCTGAGTCGATAGTCCACGCTTCGTCTCAATATGACAGCTTCGCCCCTCGTGTCGTCAGGTCTTCCACAGCGGGCCATCTCCTCGAATGAGGCATACTCACTCTGTGATGCCTTTTTATTAGGTTGCTGATGGTGGACAGTTGTGATTGTCCGGTGATAGTGTGATAGCAACTTGTTTTCCAGGACAATCAAACCTGCAGAAGTCGGCGTTATTATCAGCTAGCACAAAGCGTAGTAGCGAATGGCGCCAAGTCTTGCCATTGCGTTTATGTCTAAGGTGGAAGCATCGGTGATTGACCTCGGGCCGCTACTCTACTGTAGATATATAGATGACCGCTTTGTCCTTTGCTCAACACAAGAGGAAATGGACAAATCTATCGACTTGTTGAATAAACAGCCAGAGTGTGTCAAGTTCACCCGAGAGAAACCGAAAGAAAAATGGCTTCCATTCCCGAACGTCCAAATTAACCTGTCAGAAAATGGCTACATTACGAAGTGGTACCGAAAGCTAAGTAGTAAAAACATCTTGGTATATTACCTCTCTTCTCAACCCTCTCACACAAAAAGAGCGCTTGTAAGAAACATGTTTCGAACAGCAACCACCGTGTGCACGGGAAGAGAGCAAAGAGAGGAGTCCAGGAACTTTGCGCGGCAAATAGCCATTTCGAATGGCTACGAAACTGCAGCTCGGGATAGGTGTAGGGAAAATCGGAGGCCCCCAAACGACAACTCTAGCGATAAAAAGGTCCCGTTTATCCTACCCTTCAACTTAAATGATGTAAGTGCAGTTATAAAACGTTGCTTAAGAAGGCGGGTCTAGAGAATTCGGTAAACGTAGTTGAAGTGCCACCGCGTAATCTTAGGCGCCAGCTAGTTCGTAACCGCCTATATGATCGTCTATGTGCAACGCAAAATTGCATAATTTGTCCTAATAGTAGAGGCGGTGATTGCATGAGCTCGGGAACAGTTTATCTCATCTCCTGTAAAGCGTGTGGAGATGAATACATTGACGAAACGAGCAGACCACTCTGTGTCCGCAAAAAAGGAACACCTAGTCGGCAAACATAAACTAAATGCCCCGCAAGGCACGCATAGGACCCAGAGACATAACGGAGAGGACTTTGAAGTATATGTCACGATCCTCGCACAGGAATCAAGAACACAAGCGCGCAAAACTCTCCTAGCGTTCTGCATTAATTCCAGAAATCCGAAAATGAACCGCAGGGAAGAATGCCTCATTATCATGCGTGATATTGGACAGTATATAAACCTGTTATTCTGATGGAGTGGGCACATTACGCTTCCGTGTGAATTCTGTGCGCTTGGTCTTCACGCGACATACTCAGTGGAAGACCCATAGAAAGTGGTGAGTGTGCGGAGCTGTGTTAAATGTGATTGAAATCTTGGTTTAGCGTTTTCTTTGTTTGGTTATGGAGGTGTTTGGCCGAGTGGATTGCTGTCAGCTTGACCTTTCCAGGCTCTGAGAAAGGTGAAATCCGCCGAAACGTCAGCTTGTACGTAAATAAAGAAATAAAATAGCACCTCGTGTTTGCTGAACAGAAGTAGAAAGAATTGTTCAATTAATGCCGAGGTTAACAGAAAGTTGGACGTGGGAGTTACTACGAAGCGTAGTAATGTTTCGAAATCGACTTTCCTTGAACCTCGGTGTGACTAATCAATATGCATTCTTTCTTTGATGAGCTTACACGAGGTTGATAATTACATTTATTTTCGCCTTCCTTAGAGCCGACGATCCGAGTCGATGGTCCACGCTCGTTAGTCGTCTCGATGCGGCGGCTTCGCTTTCGTGTCGAGTCAGGTCTTCCTCAGAAAGCCATCTCTTCGAATGAAGCATACTCACTCGGTGATGCCCTTTTATGCAGGTTGCTGATGATGGATAGCTGTGATTGTCCGGTAATAGTGTGATAGAGATTAATGAAGAGTAGAGTGATGGATGAATGAGATGATGAGTTATGATAACTACAGATAGCAACAAACTAAAATTGGTTTTATAAAATCAAACGCTGAAAGGGTATAAATAAATTTTGTCCAGCTGAGAATCAGCCAAATCCTGGAAACGTTAGTGTTCACGCATCAACTAGTCGCTGAGTGAAAAATCCCTCTCTAAGTGACAGCGGCTGGCTAACTCCTGTGGCGACCCTTCAGGAACACAAAACGACTACCTCGAAAAGGGAAACATTGACTTGCTCATAGGGTTAATTACCAGCCAAATGTAGCATGTGAATGGACCTTCAGTATTCTTCATGAAAACAGGTCGTCAAAATACTCAAGTAGTTCAGGTAGTAGCCATAATTCAATGTAGTCGTTGTACGTTAATAACAGGCATAGTTGATTATCCCCGTTGATTAGTTGATTAATAGCATTATCCCATGTTCAGCAAATTTATCAGGCAATCTAAATACACTACGAATACGTGAAATACAACTGCAATGGTGGTGCGGTATCAACAAAATGCAGAACCTTAGATGAGCTTCGAACCCGCGACTATCCTTAACAGGGGCTAACATGTTATCTATTGCACCACCGAGACCCTTGCTTTGTCCACAAATAGTTGACCACTTCTCTCATTCTATTGGTATTTTTCTCAGCGCATGTTTATCTAATTCAACATCGCTGCAGCATTTCATCTCTCTCATAATCTCTTTCAGCACGACTAACCTTTGTAGGCTAATTCATTCCACATAGGGACGACAGTCTAACATATACAAGTACTATTTCGAAACCGACTTTCCCTGAACCTCGGTACCACTAATCAATATGTATTCTTTCTTTGATAAGCTTACACGAGGTTGATAATGATATTTATTTATTATCGGCCAACGTTTCGACGTCTTCGTCTTCCTCAGAGCCGGTGATCCGAGTCGATGGTCCATGCTTGTTGTTCGTCTCGACGTTGCAGCTTCGCCTTCGTGTCGAGTCAGGTCTTCC